ATCTTTTAATATTTATTTTTTTATTGTCTAAATTTGTTGTTGTTGCTGCTGACAGACATGCGAGTCCTTGGCAGAATGAACGACTGAATGAGTGGCTGCCCATGAATTTCCATGTTAATTATCTATTGAAATGTCTTAATAGCGCTCTTTGTTTTGCTGTTGTTGCTGCTTTTTTGTTGGCATATAAAAATAATGATTTCATCTAAGAAATTACTAAATCGAATCGTAAAAATATGGCAAAAAAATACAAAGAAAAAACTGAAAAGAGGCCGAATTGGAAATAAGCAAAAGAAATGGGGTTTTTGTATGTAGACAGACCATTCCATTCCCCTTGCGGATGGTGGTGTATGTTGGCTACGGGCCGCGATGACAGCCAAAAAGATGAGCGTTGTTTCCATTGGTAACCATTACAAAGTTAAAGGGTGGGGCTGAGGGAAGTAAAGTGTTGAACTATCTCTGTGCGATATGTAGCAGCAGCAGGTTGTTTGGCAAGTCACAGACAACACATAGAACAGAAGCGGATGAAAACTATTCAGGTCAAGGTTAGTTACAACATTTTGTGTTTTTGTTCTTCGGCTGTTGTTGTTATTGTAATGGATTGTCTCTCGGAAGCAGATGTGTGTGTATGTGTGATGGAAAAAAGCATCTGTATAAGTTATGTGGTTCTTTCCCTTGTTGGTGTGTTGTTGTTTAGAATAAATGGTGTGTTTTAAAATAAGCCATTATGATTATCATTGGATATTCTCCGATCACCCTCCAATATTGGAATTTTTGCCTTCTCAAGTCAATGAGTCATAAATTTTGTGCCTTTGGAGTACTTATTTCTTAAACAACTATTTCCATTTAAAATGGCATTATTTTATGCAGGGCAATGAACGCATAATAGGGGGAAAATATTGCTATAAAGGGAGGAGGAAAGAGGAGGGTGAGTTATATGTTTATAAACAAACGCCTCAGTGGCGGCACTTGAAGACTTGAAACATTCAAAATATTCTTTTAATAAAGTATTTAAAAGAAAAAATAGAAAAAAAAAAACACATTAACAATGGGGAACTTGATGGTAGGGACTTTATAATACCTTACTAAACAAATAGACACGAAATTACGGCAAATATATTCAGTGGAAACTTCAACTATGTTGTAGACCCTGATTGAATCTTTTATTTTTACGGTTCTTGTAACTTTTTAGTTGAAAAAAATTTCCTGTGACCAAAAAAAAAAAAAAAAAAACCCCATCTATATTCGATTCATTTTATAAATGACCAGCAAGTCGTCAGTCCATCTTGAAATGTTCCCACAGTTCGCGTTAGGCCTTTTTATACCCTCCACCTTGAAAAGGAGGGTATATCAACTTTGTCATTCCGTTTTTAACATCTCAAATATTCGTCGTAGATCCCATAAGTGTATTATGATTAGCATAAAAAACGAATATAGCCCACATTATTCGACGTAGAGCTTCAAAATTTGGCAGAACAAGTTGCATTGTGTCTAGGATGGTTGATATTGAAAATGAGACATATCGGTCCATGTTTTGGTTTAGCTGCCATGTAACGGTACCTTCCGATATTCGGTATTTTGATGATTTTTGCCACATTTTCCCACGGAGAGTCTTTGGTCTTTAGTCAAAAAGTCTTTAAAATCTTTTATTTCGAAGTTTACCGAAGAGGATATTAGCAAAACCATTGCATAATGGACCCACATCTAATTTTTCTATTTTCTATTTCAACCTTTCCATTAGTAAACCCTAGAAATCCAGAGAGTGACCACAATATCAAATATCAAAGTACACATATCCAAACACTAAAGGGGATCCACTGAGTATTTTTCGAACAATTTTAGTAAGCATTTGCAAAACCAGAAAAACCTCCTTCGCTCAGCCAAAGATACCAACAGCGAAATCAACATCGAATTTTGGGGTTCCAGCCCTATATTTTATCCCACTGCTCAATTTAATAGCACTTAGTACTTTTCGGACAATTGCATTTCCAAAACCACGTCCATATCTTAACCACAGACACTAACAGCGACATCCATATCAGATTTCAGGTCTATTTCCAAATTTGGTACTAGTACTTTTTCGTACAATTATAGTACACATTTCGAAAACAACCTCTATATCTCAATTCCAGATAGCAACAGAGACCTCAATATTCTACAGGCTTCCAGCGCTATCCTTTAACCCAATACCAAATTTAGCACTATTTAGTATTTTTCGTACACATGTAGGACGCATTTCCAAGTCACAAACATATCTGTATATCAAGATTCAGAATTTCAGCTCTAATACTTAATTCTGAAACATTTAGTACGCATATCCAAAACATCTACATCACTCCATTCTGGACATCAACAGTGATCCAAAGTTAATGCCATTTAGTATTTTTCAAACAATTATTGTACGGATTTGCAAAATCACCACCAGTTAACAAGAGAGACCTCAATATCAAACTTCGGAATTCCAGTTCAATACTAAGTGAATATACCCAACGTAGTACCACTTAGAACTTTTTGAACAATTCCAAAATCGACTACATATCTCAACCAGAAATATCAACAGTGGCCTTAATATCAAATTTGAGGCTTCCAGCCCTATCCCTTCACCCAATACCAAATTTTCTACCATTTAGTACTTTTCGTACAAGTATTGGACACATTTCTAAAGCTCCGCCAAATCCCAAACACAAATACCATTGGTAATCTATGAATTGTATCCCTTCACCCAGCATTAAATAGAGTACCATTCAGTACTTATCGTACAATTATAGTACACAATTCTGAAACCACCTCCATATGTCCAGGCTACACATGAACAGCGACCCTGATACCAAATTTAAGATTTCAAGCACTATCTGTTTTACTCAATACCAAAGTGTATCAAATAGAGTAATATTTATTATCTTTCGTACAAAATTGGTCCAGATTTCCAAAACCACTTATTTATCACAAACTTAATACCAACAGGAATCCTAATGCAAAATTTCAAAATTCCCGCTTCACTCGTTCACGAAAACGGAATTGTACCAAAATTTAGTATCAGTACCGTTCGCACACATTTCCAAAACCACCCCATGTGCAAGAATTGATTTTCATACCAAATACCAGGATTTAATACCTACCCATTCACAAAATTCCAAATGGTACCAAGTTAAGCGCAGAGGATTCCAGAATAAGGCTAAATACGACACGGTAAATTCCTCAGCCGTAGATCAAACTCTATCTTCACACCCTTTGAGTGAGAAAAGAAAACCAACCGAAAGGTTTGGCTGTTGATTCAATTCTGATTTTATTTCTAAAATATGTTCCTTACGTACTACTGAAACTAATCTAACTTAACCTAGTCGCAGCCACACAATTGTTCTTATCTATTCTAATATTGAATGGAGAACATTGCAGGGCTGCTTGACATATCATTCAAGTGGTCTTGTGCATCTACTGAGCGCATCAATATATGTGCGTGTGGGTCATAACCTTTATTATCTCTCACATTATCGTATGCGTCAGCGCACCGAATTCTTCACATGTGATATTTTATGGCGGCTGGGAAATTTTAATTTTAGAACATTTATTTTTTATTGCTTCATTTTCCCAGCGCCTCAATCGCACTCAAAAGTATGTACAAAGTATTTTGTACACCCTTCTATCAACCACTCCTTCCTTTTTTCTTACTATTCTTCTAGGATGAACACAATGGACCTATAGGTCTCCGAGTGGAGCGGTTGCCATATGGTAACTGCGCGTCCTTTAACCTAACCTAACCTAAGCGCATTTTAGTACTTTTGTTACACGTATTGTTGGAATTTCGAAAAAAAAAACCTTTACTTCGTCTGTTCTACCAAATCCCTTGCATCAAGAAAACAGCACAAAAATTGGTTCTATAGCCAAATTTTAGATTTCTAGCACAATCCCTTATCCAAATACCAAATTTAGTACCATTTAGTACTTTTAAGTACGTATTGCCAAAACCTCCTTAAAATCTAAACCCTACACATTAACAGTGATCCTTATGCCAAATTTCAGATTTCAAACAGTATCCGTTCATGCAAAACGAAATTTAGTACGTATTTCCAAAACCACCTCCAAATCTCAACCCTACATCCTATGCCCAATTTAAAATTTCAAGCAGTATCCGTTCACGCAATACCAAATTTAGTACCATTCAGTACATTTCGTACACATGTTTAACGTATTTCCAAACCCAATTCTCTATCTTAACTCTAACCACCAGCAGAGACCCCCATACCAACATTTTAAATTTTCAGATCAATCTGTTTAAAAAAAACCAAATTATACCGAATTCAGTACCATTTAGTACAGTTGTTATACTTGATACATATTTCCAAAATGCCAAAATGTACGAAGTTTAGTGCTTTTTAGTACATTTAGTACACTTCTGGCCCCAATTTCTAAAAACCCACCCCTAACCACCAACCTACATGGAAATTTTCAAGATTCTAGCTTCAGTCATTTCGCCTGGTCTTTGATGAATCAGTCACTCAGTCAGACACTCATTTTTTACTCATTGTTATATTTAGAAGATAAAATATGGAGGTCATTAATGACTAGCTTGGACCTAATATTTGCCCTTTTTCAGAACTGGGAGATTGTAAAAGTTTTTACTACGATAACCGATTTTCCATTTGTGATATCGAAAAAAATTGCAAAACTTCTAGATTCTAGCAGATTCTTGAAAAAAAAAAAAAAACAACTGCGCCTAACATTAACAACGTTTATATGATAATTATTAAAAAAAAAATGAACACAACCAAGTTTTTGTCTATTTTTAAATATATTTTACCTTACCTACCTAATTACAGATTTTCAAGGTCAATCCTTATTTTTCTCACGCGAATGTCATACCCATTTGTTTGCTCCATTCCCTTTGTAATTTAATTAGTTAATTAATTTCCACTTACTTTCTTTCAATGATAAATGTGAAATTACAATATTCGTGATGGCATCCATTATTAACTTTAATTTCAACCTCTTTTTCTTTATTGCAGAACAAACCACTGGTGGTGGAACCCATTGACTTTGAAGGTTTCATAGCGAAAAACAAAACACTAATACAAAATGATTCCCATCGAGAGCTGCTTATGTATCCAAATGATGATGTTGCGGTAAGAGGAGATGGTATTGAAAAACTTGTAGTATTTTCAAAACTAATATTTTGCATTTATCTCTCCCCTAGGAAATCATCTTACCTCGAAAACTGCGCACAAATACTAAATCCATAACGGACATTTTCGAAGCTCCGAATGTGGCCATTGTTTGTCCCTTACATGGCGGTGGTACAGCAGCAAACGGTACAAACGGCACCCACAATGTGTCACGTCAAAATAGCAGTGCCTCCAGTAGTCCACGCATGACACAACGTCAAATTAGCAATCAATCGACCACGTCGTCTTCCAACGGCTCTACCCTCAATGGACAAATTTCACGCAAATCATCACAAAACTCATCACATTTAGATGCGATAAAATCACCCACATCATCACATGAATCCTACGAATCGGCATTGTCTTCGCAGGCAACGCCAACACCCACAGTGGCCAATCGATCGATATCTTCCTCGAGTTCAACATTGAAATCTAGTAATTTAGCCCAACCCGAAGATGATGATGATCTAGAGGATGCGGATGATAATACCTTGAATAATGGCAATGCGGCATCGATGGCACCCAAATCGGAATGTTCCCGGTTTACAAGGCAGGCCTTATACACATACCGGGCAAAAAATCACATTATCCATTATAAATATAGTGCTTACGGCGGGACGTGTCATGATTTACCCAAGTGAGTGCTAGGTTTTACAAAACATCAATCCGATGTTAATTATTTTTTCTCTCATTTGTTTTCTTTTAGATTAACTCCCTCGGAAATCCTTAGAGAAGAAGTATACGAAATAGATGCCGATCAGGATCGCATTGATGAACAAATGTCGCGATCCCAAGCGGATTCTATAACTAAACAGGGTTATTTATTGAAGGGGCCTGATTCCGGTTCAGATCGCATGTTTGCCAACATTGGAAATAAATCATTTAAGCGAAGGTAGGTTTGTATTAATATTTATTTTTCAGGACAGAGTTATTTGGACAAAGAAATTGTTGTATAAATTGATAGATTGTTTATAAATTAGTTGTTTATTTGTAAATAAATGGATGTTTAAAGATTTCTGGTGAAATGAGCATAACAAGATAAAAATCTAAATACGCATCGAGAAATGTCTCTATATGACCAGAGCAGTGTTTCAGGTTCATTATAAACACACCAACATATTAATCTAAGAATCATTTCTTGAATTCAGATTTTTTTTTTTATAAAATTAGATTTCATATAACCACAAATATAGGATTTAGTGTTCGTATATTTTTATGGAATTTGTTTATTCCAATTACTCCTTTATATATTTATCAATTATATTTCACACCACGCCTTTGTATGGGACTCATTTTTTACATTTCTCCTAAGCTTCAATATCGGTGAATTTTTTTTGGAAATATGTTGAATTCACTTATGCCTTTCAAGGGGTTAGTCATCAACCAGATAAGATCGTAATGTCAGTACATCGTTAGAGATGTGTTTTTATCTCAAAATTCCTGCATAAAGGCAGATATTATGAGAAAGTGTTTATACCCAACCACTCCATTATTCTATAGATCCCAACTCCATTCTATAAACGCCAGCGTCTATTTTCATTCCCTTAACCTTCTGGCTACAGATATTAGATATGGTCAAAATGAAATTCATTTAAGGACATTTGGAGTCGATCTAGCTACATCCCTTTGCCCGTCTGTCTTCCTGCGCGCGCAAAAATTCTGGATTAGATTCGATTTCGTTAAGACTTGGTAAATAGTATTATTTTTAACAGACTTAGATTGAGTTTCTAGATGAGCGATATCGGTCCATTCCTTCGGGTAACTCCCCTACAAATGTGAAACATTTTGTGAAAACATACAAATCTCATATTGATGCGATGGGACTACTCGATATTGTTCCAACTTGGAACATTATAATATTTACAAAATATATAGGACACGATCGGAAACGGACAATATCACCCACAAAGGGAATAAAAAAACGGGAAATTCAATGTCCGATTTTCTTAAAAGATCACACCTAAAATACTTTTGTCTTTGTATCGGCCCACTCGAAATACCGAATGGAACTCTCTAACTTCATGTTAGATTTTTTTTAAAGGGATATAAATTGTTGCTCAAATTCAAACCCGTTTGATACAAAATCAATGGTGAAAACCACGCCTTCATTGCCGAATTGCGAAGGATCTTAGCATTAGTGGCAGTTTTAGGACGGTTAATGCTGCTCTTTGTCTGGATGGGGCATACTTTCAACTCAGTTCTTCAGTTTACAGCCTTCTGTAAAATTGGCTTCATATGATGGTCAAAATATCAGACATATAAGGCATATTTTCCGACTTTCCGACGAGGTTACGTATCCAGAACGTCCCTCTTTCGAAAATTGAAATGCTGATCCGACGTTTTTAAATTATTATATCGTTATATTGGTCTCGACATGATTTGAAGGGCAGATAATGATATTCCAGATTCTATAATGAATCCTTTGTCTGTTACGCAGCACACCAAGTTTATCACAGATAATCCAGCTCCAGGATAGTTTATAGAATGATACAATAATTTCCAGCTTGTATTTCACTTACCATCGTTTTTCTTTCAACTTCGATTCAGGAAGATATGCAACACCCTACCGCATTTTGTCAAGCTTCCCATTATTTTCAATATTCTCATGTCTATCATCTGAGAAGACATGTCGTAGACAACTATTATGTGCTCTGAAGCAGTACAGTACAGCGGGCAGCGTCCTTCGGATCAAATTTCCTGAGTGATATGTAACATTCTAGGTAGACAAACACACGTTTTAGGTCCATAGTTTGTTGCCCGTCCACTTCCCTTCATGAAGAGGATTTTTTTTGTTCACCAGAATTAAATATGCTTCTACACTACCGGTCAAGGCATATTCTTCCTCCTTCTATAGCTCCAGGGTAGAACTAACAGCCATCTTTTTGGCCTAACCTTTTCTATGCTTAATTCTACGCCTTTTAGAAGAACATGATCGGTTTATCATTATCGCATCCGTTTTTTATTCCTGTTCTATCTTTTTGATCCACTCTCGTTTAATATCTCAAAATCTTATAGGAAAAATGGCCTAATTTTTGGGCCAAACTTGTTTTACCAGTTCTTAACCGGAACAGCGTCTCCTTTTACGCTCTTTGAATAAGAATAAGACTTGTTAAATAGTTTGACATCCTTAAACTACTAGACTATGTACGTACTTTCATTTCCAAAGGGTTTGAGGGCAAAGCATATTCTTTCGCTTCACAAGAACGTCAGTTTTTGAGGACAATTTGTTGAAATATTGCCCTTGTGGCGGTCTCAAGAACAGCAAGCAACTCCAGTCGAGGTTGCATTGATTTAAGTCTGGGTCTGGTGCTGAAACTTATATCCGGTATTTAGTTTGATATTTTGGTTTGTATAAAGCATGCCTTCCGTTTATTTGGACTACGCTTACGAAATCTTTTTTTAAGTCAAACATTTACATAGTCTTCAACAAATATATCCTGTTGTGTCTTCTAAATTTTGGGGTTATACCTCAATAAGCCCTTGTCTGGCACTCAGGCCTTGAATCTCGAAATTGAGAGTTGGTAAATTAAACCAAAGTCTTGTATTAAACTATGCAGTAGTTTTAAAAGGCTAAAATTCCAGCCTATATACAAATTAGAGTATGTATTAGCCAAATTTATCTGATACATTTTCATTTTACAGCCCCTTCCACTTAAATATAAAATCCGTTACTAATTTCCTTTCCCTTTTCTAGGTACTGCTACTTGAGACAAGAAGTCGACGGTACATACATTTTAGAATTGCACAAAGATGAAAAACAATGTGAGGCCAAAGCCACCATAGTCATGGACTTCTGTACCGAAGTGGTGCAGGTGAGTTTTGCAAAACAAGCCCTTAAAAATGTCGTATAACAATTCTATATCATTTTTATTAATAGAATCCCAAAAGAGGTCGCTTTTGTTTCGAGCTGCGCATGACAGCCGGTCATAAGTCCTTTACACTGGCTGCTGAGAATGAAGAAGATCTAAAAGATTGGCTTAGCAAACTCTCCTCAGTATTGCAGCAGAATAAAATTCAAGAAGATAAACGTAATGCCTCATTGGAGAGGACAACACCCCAGGCGCCACAACCAACATCCAGCAATTGTAGTACCACGAGTAGTAATAATTCCGTAATGTTTGGTACCCTAAAGGGATTGGATCAATCGATGAATCCACAATTAATCAAATACGGCCGTGAAACAGATATATCCATTGCCCAGGCAAGGCGGGAACATCGTCGCCGTTTATTTGCCAACTATCAGTCAAGTGTTAAGGCAAGCCCCAACGATAATGTTGAGCAATATCGTGAACAATTTGGCAAACGTCTTCTAATCAATTGTCGTAGTTTAAAATTTCGCCTACAATGTCCAACGGATAGTCAGTTTTCGGCAGATGGCGATCATTTGTGCCAAGTGGAACCCTATATAACTAGTCTGGCCCTCTTTGATGTACGCGCAGGACGCAAACTAACCGAATCCTTTTATTTTAATATCAACGATGAGCATGTCCGTGATATGTTACCCTCCACGCCAGTTCCCGACTCGGTGGCCAATTCGAATATACCACGCAAAGAGGTGCAGCACGATGAACGCACAAGGCAAACATCCCAGGCATTTTCAACGTTGATAGAAAATCTTTCTGGGGATTTGCAAAAATGCACAAAAGAACAATTTGCCCAATTGCGACAGGGTATATTCTCGGTGACTGCCCCACACACGGATATATTTTTAGTATTGAAAATCGAGAAAATATTACAAGGTAATATTGTCCAGGCTGTGGAACCTTATCTCAAGGCAAATCGTGATCCAAAGTTTGCCCAGAAGTTACATAAAACCATACGTAACTATGCCCAAAATATTGGCCATTACAGGCAGCCATTTGCCTGGGCGGCAAAGCCTCTCTTCAAGCCCTACAGCCACGAATTGGACACAGAGAAAAATGAATTTGAATTTAATATTTTATATCGTCAGGAGTTGAATAAATTGAAAGATGAAGAGTTATTGAAATTCCTGGTGGACTATCGTAAACCGGAGAAGTTAAGCAAGCTAACCATTATACCAGGTCACTTGAAACTAACCATAGAGGAGGTGGAAAAAGTTCCATGTGAGTATCCAACAGTAAACCAATTAATTTGTGTGCTCTAATATGTGTTCGTTTTAGTTTCCTTTACAAAATCCCTAGTTCCTTTGGCCCATAACAACACATCAATGTCTTCCAAAGTGGCCAGTTTGGAAATAACCGAATTCCAAAGTTCTTGTGAACGGGACTGTCATCCATATACAACATTTTGTAATCATTTATTTGTGTATCCACTGTCTTTGCAATTCGATAGTCAGAAAATATTTTCACGGGCCCGCAACATCACCGTTGTGGTTGAGTTACGAGATTCGGACAAAGAAAATGCCAAACCATTAAAGGTAAGCAAGCGTGACCCACATTCGACGTGTTCCACTTCTCATGTATTTGTTTATTTTTGTGTGTGTTTTTTAGTGTATCTATGGTCGTCCTGGCCACGATTTCCTAGTTTCCCACATAGCCTGTCCTGTGTTGCATCACAACACCACACCCACATGGTATGAGGAGCTGAAACTACGTTTGCCATTAGGCATTTTCCCCGAACATCATTTGTTATTTTCATTCTATCATGTTTCGTGTAATTTGGGCAAGAAACGCGATGCCTCAGCATCGTTCGAAACACCCATTGGCTATGCTTGGCTGCCGTTGCTGCAAAAAGGCAAAATCAATTTGGATGAACAAATAATACCGGTAGCAGCCTCATTGCCTGTTGGCTATTTGAGCATACAGCCGTTGGGTCTGGGCAAAGGGGTAAGTAAAATGGAATTTGTTTGAGAGAACGAGATAATATTATTTGTGTGTGTGTGTTTATAACTGTCATTATTGTTAACAAATCAGTGAAGCATATTCCACTTTGGGGATATTAGAATTTGATTATGATATATTTGTAAGGATTCTGATATCATTGGGAAATGACTGACTGATATTTATTAAACAGTTTTTTTTAGGATTTAAAAAAGAAATCTTGTTCGTCATGTTATTCGGATATCTACATCATTGTATCTTTTGAAACAGATCATTGCCCTGACACAAATCACTTGCTTTTAACACTGGCTCATAAAGGGTTTATCGAACGACTGATTTTTAAAATGTTTATGATTTTTATACCCTACCCCACAAGGTGGTCAGGGTATTATGTCTTTGTGCATTTGTCAGGCAAAAGGAAACTAGATAGACCCATAGTTCCTTTTGATGATCTGCATAGAATCACATTCTGATTTATGCATGTCCGTCCATCCGTCCGTCCGTCCATATATTTTTGTAAACAAAGTACAGTTCGCATTTATTGCCCTATCCAGATGAAATTTTGCACAAATCATTTGTTTGGCCCAAGGACGAACCCTATTAAAATTGAAGATAATCGGTCAAAATTTAGATATAGCTCCCATATATATTCGTCCGATTTGCTTTTATTGTGCACCAAACGTGTAATATCAGTCCGAATAGTATAAAATTTTGCACGTACGATCAGATTGGACCTGAAAATAAGTATGCAAAATTTAATCGAAATCGGTTCAGATATAGCTATAGCTCCCATATATATTGTTCATCCGATTTGTTATTTTTGTCCTCCGCAGCCGTAATATGCACTCTGTAACAACAATATTTGGGGTAATATATCAAATACATCTCAGAAATACATTTGCTAAATTTTATCGAGATCGGTTCAGATTTGGATATAGCTCCCACATATAACTTCGTCCGATTTACCTTTGATTGTGCACCAAGCGTCTAATATTTGCCCAAATTGGATGAAATTTGGCACTTACGACCGAATTGAGTCTAGAAACTAGTATGTCAAATTTGGTGAAGATCGGTCCGGTTTGTCATATTTGTTACCCAAAGCCGTAATATGCACTCCGTAACAACGATATTCAGGGAAATATATCAAATACATCTCAGAAATATATTTGCCAAATTTTATCGAGATCGGTTCCGATTTGGATATAGCTCCCATATATATTTTTATCCGATTATAAATTAATTGTGTACCAAATGGGCAATACATGTCCGAATTTAAAAGATACAAATGCTTCGGCATATTTAGTCCTTTGAACTTTAAATTATAATTATAATCATAGCTACTAAATTAGCAAAGTGGTGTAGGGTATCATAAAGTCGGCCCTGCTCGACTTTAAGACTTTCTATACTGGTTTAATAATGTATAACAACACTTGGAAGTCATGGTCATTATGCTACAATGACCTGTGATGATCCCCACCACAAGTTTTAGGTCATGTTTCGCTATGAAGATTAGCGATCTTATTCTCTTTCCGAAGATTATAGGCCAGATTTTCTTGGGTACATTACATTCCCAGGCAGCTGGCCAGTTTTGTTGAAATCTTCCTTGTAATGTTAATGTATCGCACGAAATAAGTGCCGCAAGGGTGGTCCAATTGACTCGAATCTACGTCGTGCCAATTCATCTGCTCTTGCATTACTCGGAACATTGCAATGACTTGGAATCAACAGGGCTTGATGGACGATCTAACTTTTTCCAAAGTTTTCCTACACTCCAAATCTGCCATAGATTTAATAGCGCTTTTTGTGCCGCCTGACTACTGACGTAAATATTCACCGGACTGTTAACTTCAATGTTTCAATAGCTTTTTTAATCGCAAAAATTTCTGTCTGGAATACGCTTCAGTCGTTGCTAATGATGTAGGATATGCCAATGTTTAGGCTATCGCAGAAGACCCCAGCACCCGTCCCACATACCATATTAGAACCATCAGTATAGACAGCTATACCGTACAAAGATGGGTTGTTATGGCTCCAGATATCCATGTCAAGTATGTGAATGTCGAGTGGTTCGAAGTTCAAGCCTGGTGATATGTAGTCACTGGTTTTGACTTCGCCTTTTAAATTTTCTACTCGCAGAGTGTCCAATAGGTTGGCTGCGCCATTGTTTAAGTTCTTTGTGTCTTAGGGCGCACCTGATTGCCTATTACTCTACATAGAGACTTAATAAAGTTAATTTGTGTAGTTTATCTAGTGCGGTCTGAAGTGTGCTCCTAAATGCACCTGTGATAAATAATCATGCGAACTTTATTAATGGCTCCGGATGGCTCAGGATGGTTAACCACCAAACTAGCGCTCTATAGGAGAAAAATTGACACATACGTCCATTTGTATACCCTCCACCATTCTTTGTAGGGTATATTAGCTTTGTCATTCCGTTTGTAACTCCTCGAAATATTCATAAGAGACTCTACTAAGTATATGTAAGTGTAGCGATGTCTGTCTGTCTGTTGTAATCACGCTATCTTTCGAACGAATTGAGATTGAAGGCTAAAATTTTGCATACATGCTTAGTTTACCAGTAGTCAGGTTAAGTTCGTAAATGGGCGATGTCGGTCCACGTCTTCGTATAGCCCCCATATAACGGTACCTCCCGATATTCGGTATTTTCATGATTTTAGCGACCTTATTTACCGGAGTTATTTTAAATTTCATATTTAAAGTTCATAATGGGTACTACAGCCCATTAAAGCAATTTTTGTATGCAGGTCCACCTCTTCGTATAGCCCCCATATGACAGTACCTCCTGATATTCGGTATTTACATGATTTGAGAGGCATTATTTACCGGAATTAGAAGATCTTAATGGTAACTACAACCCATGGCCAAAAATTTCGTATGCCAGTCCACGTCTTCGTAGAGCCCCCATATGACGCTATCTCCCGATTCTCGGTATTTTCATGATTTTTGCGATATTATTCACCGGAATTGTAAGAAATTTCGTATTTATAGTTCGTAATGGGTATTACAGCCTATGATAAAAAAAATTCCGTATATAGGTTCACGTTTTCGTATATCCCCCATATAACGGTACATCCAGATTTTATTTTATTGATTTTAGCGACATTATACACTTGAACTGGTTCAAATTTCGTAATGGGTATTACAGCCTATAAAAAAAATTTGTTAGCAGGTCCACGTCTTCGTATAGTTCACATATAACTGTTTTCATTTAAGTGGTAGTTTTCGGAACTTTTTTAAAATTATTCAAGCTCCTTCCAAATAGTTCGAAGTTTAAGGCCCCAACTTTTCCCTATATAGTTTTTGCCAGAGTAGTGTGCGACTAAGCCTCTTTTCGCGCGCCTTATTATTGCACCTAGATGGTAGTTGAGAAGAGTATCAAAATATTTGGCTTCTGAGGAGAGGGTTAACGCGACTACATTTGTCATTGGTGGTGAAAATTCAGGGAATTGATGTTTCCTCGTGAAGGGGACGAGCATCGTTTTTGATAGGTTTATACCTAGCCAATAAATATCCTCATATATATTGTTTCGAGCATAAAATTTTTTCTACACCAATTTTTTAAACGAGTGGAAAAATATTAGAAATAAATAAAAAACGTAAAAAATAAAAAAAACTGAATGAACGTGTATTTTGACCCCGACGTGATTTGAACACGCAACCTTCTGATCTGGAGTCAGACGCGCTACCGTTGCGCCACGGAGTCTTGTGTTGGCTATCAACTAAACACTGCATACATGCTGTACTATTTATTTGCTGTAGTTGTACTTACTTGAGTGTGTTCGTCTGTTTGTGAGCATTTCAGTTGACAGAATGTTATTAACATTGCTGGGTATTGTGTTAACATAAATCAACATGAACAGTGCTTTGTTAACTGTAGAATGAAAAATGTTGTGACTTTTAACATAACAGTTTTGTGTGAAGAAATTAGACTTTCAAACTATATCAGAAATATAGAGAGTTAAGGTAATATGAAGTTTTTTTGCACAAATTTGATGAAGATTTGTGATTTTATTACCTTTCGGAAATATATAATAAATATATATTTTCATGTAAAGAGCAAAAAGCAATATTCTACAGAGAACCATATTATCTATGTGGGTAGATTCATTCAATCATTTCAAAAATATGAAATATATATAGAATTGGATAAAAACTGATTTGGTCACAGGTCAAGTTTTTGAATAGCTCGGGTATAAAAAGATTGTCCCAGTCGCAATTAAATTCAATTTCTAACGGAATCAATATTCTTTTTTTACTTTTCATTAAGTAAAATTTGTCCCAGTAAAAACTTTTCTCTATAGGTCTAGTATTTGCAATAACCTCCACACAGAAATGTTTCTTCCGACATCTGGCATGTTGAAGGTTTCCGCATCAAGAATGACACTATCCTTTCTTTCGATATTTTCAAAATCCTTGTTCATTTTTCCATCCAAGTGGCTGTAATTTGATGTTTTGAAATCACAACGAGTAGAAAAAATTCCTCGCATAAATTACACAACATAGCATTTTATAAAATGCGATATGACTTCTCGAATTCCTTCAAACATGGCACATTGCAATATTTGTAACACCCTCAGTCATATGGCTACACAGGTCTCTCTGGACCAAATCCGTTTCATGACATTTGGAGTCGATGTAGAGATGTTCGTTCGTCCGTTTGTCTGTGTGGCGTATCTGAATTGCTCCAAATCGAGTCCGGAGATGGGTAACATCCACTCCTTCCGGTGCCTCCCCCATAAAAGCTCAACATTTTCAAAGAAAACGATTTGCCTCATAGAAAGAAAAAGGATGATTCGATTTATATTGGCCCACTCCATCAAGTACCTCCCAGCCAAAATGTCCAAATTTTGGAATAATTATATCTCTAATAAAATTCAAAATAAGCATCAGGTTTTTTTTTTTTTCAAATTTCATATATCCCATTATTTTTAATAACGCAAGATCTGGTATGAAGAAAGGGGTCAACATTTTGATCAATAATGAAGCTCATATAACGCGGAATGAGCATCTGATTACTTTCAAACCAGGCACATCTCAATACATCTATAAACAAAAGATCTGTTATAAAGATGGTGGTGATCGGACCATTCCTTCTGGTACATCCCACTCAAAGGGTCAACGCTTTGAATAACCAAAACGATCATAAAATCCGAAATAAGCATTAAGTTCTCTTTAAATTTTGAACATTCAATTTTTTCTTCTAACACAAGATCTGCTGTGAAGATAGGATATATGACTCCATTCCTTCTGGTACCTCCCCGACGGAGGGTCAAGTTTTTGAATATGAAGCTCATAAAACGTGAAATTAACATCCGATTCCATTCAGACTTGGTACATCTCAATATTTCCATCAACACAAAATCTGTTATAAATATGGTAGAGATCGGACCATTTCTTCTTATATCTCCCTCACATAGGATACAAGATTTTGAAAAACAAAAAGCTCAAACGGCATCCAGCTCTCTTCAAATTTCACACATACAAACATTTTTGCTAACATAAATTAGCAACATAAGTTGTGAAGATGATATCTGGGAACCCCTTCTGGTACCTCATCTACAGTTACATTAGGGTCTATACGACTACATGGACCTGCATAGGTAACTTTTGTCATAAGCCATTACAATATTCTAGTTCGAAATCGGAATCGAAATATTCTAGAAAAATCGGTGAATAATGTAGCTAAAATCATCAAAATACCAAATATCGGGAGGTACCGTTACATGTGGCCTATACGAAGACGTGGACCTGCACAGACAATTTTCTGTCTTTGGCTGTAGCATCAACTACGAACTTTAAATACCAAACTTGAAACAATTCGGGTGAATAATGTCGCTAAAATCTTCAAAATACCGAATATAGGGAGGACATCAATTCTTCAATTCGTTCGGCTGCTGGCTGCTCTATCTTACCTTTTTATTGTACCATGGGCAAAACCGACTGATATTTTTGAACTTGTTTATTTTAACTTTTGAACAATATTGACTATATTAAAGCCTTTAGTTAGCTTGTGGAATATGCTTCATTAGTCAATAACAAATTTCTATCCTCAACTTCAAATTTATTAAATTTTCAGAATTATTTTTGTTTTCTTCATATATCGATATTTTTTACTAACATTTTATGTTCTTTTTTGTTTCATATATATTTTTTTAATATGCCATTGGTCACCATTTTGCATTACATTTTGTGTTAACTTTGGACAATACCTCTAATTGAATTCTCATGCAACCCACACTTCAACAAACATCACCACCACCACCACCAAAAAACCACCCACCATTGTCAACTCACATAAAAATTCAAAATCATCATCTACACAAACACCAACCACATTGTTGTTGTTGTTGCTATTGTTTTGTATTGCGGCTATCTACAAAACATTACCATACTTTTAGCAGAATTGCGGTCCCGAGGTGCAATGGATCGACAATCAAAGGCCATTATTCGCAGTAGCCCTACGCATGGACTCCACGGTCCATACGGCCGATCAACATCTGCATAATTTCTTTGTCCACTGTGAGCGGCTGCTGGAAGGTGGTAAAACGACAGCTATGCCTGCCGAAACCGAAACCTGTAAAATTCTTAAAGCTGCCCATGCCATTGACATAACAACGCTCATCAATTATTTGCCCACGCTGCTAAATGAGCTCTTCACACTGTTGGTGCACACGCAATCCGAGGAGGTGGGCCTAAACATCATCCGTTTGCTGATCAATATCATACACATTATCACCGAGGATGCTGGACGCAAGGAATTGCTAAGTTCCTATGTCACATATGTCTTCCATGCTCCCTACTATTCGCAGAAAATCACACGCACTGTCCATGGAGAGCTGTGCCGACACTTGCCAACTATTTTACATCCCAACAATACGGACTTTTTGGTGGTCCATAAATTTATGCGATTTTCGAATATATTTTTCGATTTGATAATTAAGAGTATGGCCCAGCATTTGCTTGACACCGGAAGGATTCGAATGCTGCGCAATGAACGATTTCCGAAGGAGTTTCCCACACGGGTGGAGACTTTGGTTAAGGTGTTGATACCCTATTTGGTATCGCGCTACAAGGATTTGCCGGTGGAGACCCAGTATTTAAATAAATCCCTATCGCAATTCATAAGAAAATGCCTAACGTTTATGGATAGAGGATTTGTATTCAAATTGATACGCTATTATATGGAACAATTCTCGCCGGGTGATCCCCGGGTGCTGCAGGAATTCAAATTCAATTTCCTGCAGGAGATATGCCAACACGAACACTATGTGCCATTTAATTTGCCTTTTGTTATGAATCCGAAAAATCGGCCACCCGAAATGATGCAACATTTCAATTTGACGGAGGAATTTTGTCGGCAGCACTTTTTGTCTGGTTTGCTGCTGCAGGAGTTGAAGAGTAGTCTCAATGAAATTGGCCATGTTCGGCGACATGCCTTGAAGGTATTGAAAAATCTACTGGCCAAACATGAGCTGGATGATCGCTATCAAAATCGTGGCCAATTGTCGCGTATTGCACTGCTCTATGTGCCTTGGCTGGGTATTGTCATGGATAATATACAACGCATTAATGACCTGGCTGAGGTCTGCACACCCAATGGGCATGTCTATGCAGATTCTGCGTCGTACACCCAACGTCTGTCCTGTTCCAGCAGCTATGTCTTTGGCAAAGATTCCACTTTGAATTCCAGTACCTCAACGCCTAGGGGTAAAAATCGGGCCACACTACACATCGATCATCCCAGTCCTTTGCGAGCCTCGGTGCACATCAAGGAGACCAACTATTTTGCGGCCATTGCCACGGGTAATATTATCAGCAATGGATGTTCTGATTCCTCACTGAATTCCCTTAACTCGGATTCACAAAATTCCCAGGACACCACCTTGGGTGCCACCACAAATGGTAATCACACCACAGCGACCGGGGATTGCAATGAAGTGGCCCTTCGAAATGGCCATAATCGTTCCATCAGCGTCTCCCACACCCTGGTCCAGCAAAGATTCGATAAATTTTCACAATCTGAGAGTCGAGATTTTTTGCTGGGTTTCCTGTTTGTCATCAAATATTTGTCGCAGGAACAAATGATTGGCTGGTGGCAGAATTGCAATGAGACCGAAACGCTTAACTTCTTCAGCATCTTGGAGTTGTGTCTCTTGCAATTCCGCTATGTTGGCAAAAAGAATCTCAACATGAATGAGGACTCGAAGGATGCCCGTGCATTGAGGGCAGCCAAGGCCAGTACTTTGCCAGCTAGATGCTCACCAGCCAATTTGGAGAGCAATGGCTCCGGCCAACCGGGCATTCATGAAACCGGCACATTAAATCACCCTCAGACACGTGAAAATCTGCTGGACGAAACGGCGAGAAATCAGAGGGCTCTATACGAATCGAATTTGGCAACGGAGATTGGCATGATAATACTCGATTGTCTGGGTTTGTTTTCGGTACAATTCCGCCACAAGCTGATAGACAGTTTAATACTGCCCAAATTGGCCCGGGTCTATTTGAAATTCCTGCAATTGGGTCAATCTGAGTCGTTGTCAAAGCATGTCTTTGCCGCCCTGAGGGCTTTCATCAACAACTTTTCACCGGCCTTTTTCAAGGGCAATGCCATTCTGTGCGGCCAAATGGTCTATGAACTGCTAAAGGCCTGTGACAGCCGTCTGGTGCAGATACGCCATGAATCCTGTGCCGTTTTGTATTTGCTGATGCGTAGCAACTTCGAATTCAGCGGCCGTAAGGGCCTGACAAGGGTGCATCTGCAAGTCATCATTTCCGTTTCACAAATGATAGGCAATGTCATTGGCCTCAACAATGCCCGCTTCCAGGAAAGTCTCTCCATAATCAATAGCTATGCCAACAGTGATAAGGCCATGAAAGGCACCGGCTTCCCCATGGAAGTTAAGGATCTTACAAGGCGTGTTCGGACAGTATTAATGGCCACGGCTCAAATGCAGGCCCATCACATGGATCCGGAAAGATTACTGGAACTACAATATTCCTTGGCAAATTCCTATGCCTCAACGCCTGAGTTACGACACACATGGTTGGTCACCATGGCCCGCAATCATGAGCAAAACGGCAACCTGTCGGAGGCGGCCTGTTGTCATCTACACATAGCAGCCCTAATGTCGGAATATCTGCGACTTAAAGGTAGCTGTAACATTAAATGGGGTTCCTCGGCATTTGCCAAAATTTCACGTAACATTCATCGGGATGAGCAGGGTCTTAAGCTGGATGCCGGATCACAAGATTCTCAGTACACCGAGCAAATGCTTTTGGAACAACTCAAGCAGTGTGCCCTGTTTTTGGACACAGCGGAAAGGTATGAATGTTTGGGTGAACTATATAAGCTCATAATGCCCATCTATGAGAGGACACGAAACTACAATGATCTGCAGGAATCGCATGAACATTTGGCCAAGGCATATGCCAAGATAATTGAAGTTAATCGTTCCGGCAAACGTATGCTGGGCAGATTTTACCGAGTGGTATTTTATGGCATGGTGAGTTTGAGAATGATTTTGGGAAATTGAAATACAAATTTTAATTTTTTCTCTCTCTTTTGCAGATGTACTTCGAAGAGGATCATGCTGTCGAGTATGTCTATAAGGAACCTAAACTTACCTCATTGAGTGAAATTTCCGAGCGTCTGGCTAAACAGTATAAGGAGAAATTTGGTGCTGATGTGGTGAAAATGATAATGGATTCATCGCCGGTAAGTTGGTACTTTGAATATAAATTTGGAAATTGGGTAATTTATTTACGAATCCTTGCCTGTTTCAAACAGTTGATATATGTCGGTGAGATATCCGAAATCCTCAAAAAGGAGAAGCCTCAGTCCATCGGAAATATCAAATACATCCACTGTAATTTTTTATGGCATAGCGGTGATAGCCGATGATATAAAAAAATTGAAAAACATGATTGGCAAATTGCCTCTTGAAATTTAGCTGTTGGAGGGTAAGGGTTAATTCGTATTAAAAGTACTTTAACATGGGTTTTTGGTCTGAAAGACAACATATTAGTTAGTGTTTTTGGAATCATATATTTCTTAGGTGGTTTACAATTGATGAGAGGCATTAGATCAAATTGAATTCTGAAATTGAATTGTACATTTTTGGTAGCAAATAACCTTCAGGTCGTTCAAATTTAATTCGTACTAAAAAGGACTCAAAATTTTACTCTGGTGTCCAAATTCTATACTCTCCGATATTATTGGTGGGTACCAACCACTGTTCTGCTAGGGATATAACTCTTAAACTGGAAAGCGACTTAACCATGTTCCCGGATCTCAATCTTAGATTTCATGTGAAAATTAGAAATTCCTCTCAATCTGTCTGGAACTCAATGAAAATGTTAAAAATATAAATCGCACTTAAAGCCAATGGCGTTCACAGTTAATTCCAAATTCTGTATATTGTAATACAGGGTGAGATGAAAAAAAACTGCAACCATCTTCAGACTGCAGTCATTTCTAATCCACACGTCTGACAGCTGTTAAAATTATTCCACATGACAGCTCATTGTATTGTTTACAAGCGTACAAATGTATTTTGGCGAGAATTTTCCAGAAAAAAAGTTATTCGTGATGGAATTCAAGCATGATAGTGAGATTTATTTATATTTTCCTGGAAAACCACAAGTGGCTACCGTTAGAGCACTCCAGCACTTAAATGTGAATATATCTTTTGTATCTCGTCTCATACCATCGCTCGTTACCGTGATACTGGTAGCGTAGACCGACGTCAAGGAAGTGGACGAAAGAAAACAGCAACATCCGCAGAAATGGTTCGAAAAGTAAAGAAGCGACTTGATCGAAACCCGCGTCGCAGTGGCCGAAAAATGGCTGGTGAGCTGAACATATCGCAATATTTCATTCGACAAATATTGATAAATGAGCTCGGGGTAAAGCCATTGAAATTCCCAAAAGTGCAAGAACGTACACCTCAAGGGAAAGAAAATAGACTCAAAAGCCCTAAAAAGTTGCTTCGCTTGACCGAATGTGGTGAACAGCCGAATTTGGTTTTCTCCGATGAGAAAACATTCATTGTCCAGCAGTTTGTAAACAAACAAAATGATCGTGTTTACTACCCAAAGAGGTCAGTTGAAAATGTGAACCTTCAGTTGGCCATCAGAACTCAAGCACCGGCCATGGTGCTGGTGTGGGCCGCCATAACAGCCGATGGTCGCTCTCCGCTCGTATTAATCTAACGTGGCATCAGAGTAAATGCCGAATATTATCGCGAAAATATTCTGGAGGGAGTATTGAAGTACGCAAATATTTTGGCCGCAGACTTTGGACATTAAAACAGGACTCAGCACCATCGCACTCAGCACGACCAATCCAAGAATGCTTACAAAATGAGGTTCCCTGCTTCATTTCCAGCGCACAATGGCCACCAAAATCTCTGGATACCAATCCGTTGGACTATTGTGTCTGGTGTATTTTGGAAAATAAGGTTGGCACTAAAAAATACCAAAGAGTCGATCACCTCAAGCAAGCGCTTCGCCGGGAATGGGCCAAAATACCGCAGAGCAACATTCGGGCAGCGTGCAACGGTTTGATTGGCCGTTTCATGGCCACAATTCGTGCCAAAGGTGACAAATTCGAACAAATCTAAACTTATTCTAAAATTTGATGCGGTTTCCGACATTTCTTGCTTTCATTCAATAAAATTAAAAAAAAAAGTAAAAATATTGCTGCTGTTTTTTTATCTCACTCTGTATCTGCCAACCCCTTCTGGTACCTCAAACACAAAGTGTCAACATTTCCAATACTTATATCTGTCATAACATGCGAAACAATTGGGCGATTCCTTACAAATTGCTATATCTAAATATTTCTCTTAACCAGAAATCTGTCATGAATATGTAATTTATCGGAATTTATGATTTCGCATAAAATTTGCTATAAATGTTCGATTTCCTTCAAATTTTGCACATACTATGAATTTTACCTGCATTATATGAAGTATTAAAATAGAATACTTCGGTCCGCTATATCTGTTACCTCACACATATTTTCATATTTTCCAAAAATTTGCACATATCTCATATAAAGTTTAGGAAGGATCCAAATTCGACACATTGTAATATTTTTATCAGTCTTAGGTCAGATTCGAATTGGTCACCTTCCCCATTAAGGGTCAACAGTTTGAATAATCAGAACTCAAGGGTGGGAGTATACGTTTGTCGGCAAAACCGACTGACACTATTTTACTTGTTTTTTATACCAAATGTCAATATCTAAGATGTATTCTAAATTTAGTAATTTGTAGTACTTTTGGTACATTTCTAGTCCGAATTTCCAAAAACCCAGTCTTATCTCACCACTACCCACCAACATTGACCTACATACAATATTTCAAGATTCTAGCTTCATCCGTTTCGGCTGGCCGTTGATGAATCTGCCAGTCACTAATTTTTTCTCTAATATATAAAGGATAATCTTACTCCGTATATGAAGGATAATCTTAAAAAATGCCCCATTCAACTATGCTATTGAATGAAGCCCATCATTTACTCATTATCACATTATTATTATCCTCAACATTATCCTTACATTATCCAAAATTAGTAGTTTCAATTCAATTTCGGGAGAAGTGATATTTTATTGAGACATACAAAAGTTAATGAAATAAAAAATCATGCATGAAAATATTTAGCTCAGGATTATCGGGAAACAAACTTCGACGCTACAATTTACAATACATAAATTTAGCCAATAGTGCGGAATGGGATGGGTAATCGAGGTCAGCTTACTTTTTGGGTTTCCGTTTTACGTAAGTTGGAGGCCACAGTGGAACGTGGAGTTTTTGGCAGTGATTCTTTGGATTTATTATTTTTTGTCGGGGCCAAAGTTTTATTTATTGGAGCTACAGAATTGAGGGCAGCTTTTGAGAAACTAAAAAATAGATTAAATTTTAGAATTAATTTATCTAATCAAGAGTGTTTAGCATTACCGAACACCATAACTTTTGTCCGACGAACTATTTGATTTAATTGAGGCAGCATCTTTTGGTGTATTATTTCCCGAAGAAGACATGGGTCTTGATGACTGCAGGGGAGATGTAGATAATTTATTTTTTAAAATTGGTTTTGTTATGCTTGATGCGGATGAAAGTCGTGTTGGAACCCCAGATTTTTGTGAATGATCCCATTTTGCGGGAATTTTCTTTATGGCTCCATTTGTTTTATTTACTGGAATTTTGTTGCCCATATTTGAATTTGGTTTTATTATACGTGCATGTTTTTTGCTCTCAGTTACGATTTGTTGCCCAAACTCAAAGTTTGCTTGCGATTCTATTTGAAATTTGTAAAACATTAAACCTTTTAGTTTCTCAAGAATGGAAATCGTTTGTTCCACGGGCCAAAACGTGACAGAATAACTTTTAAAAACTTTCTCCTGCAGGCTGACTTTTTGTTCGGGCCTTGAACGCCAGGACCTGACATAATTTGGATAAAATTCTTTGGCATTTGGATTTAGATTCGATATAATTTGACGTTGAAATGATTCTCCGGAATTTATATTGATCACCGTTCCTTGTTGTCTCCACATTCCGCCAAAGTAGTACAGATTTAGATTGGTTTTACGGTGAAATATTTAGTTATTATTGAAATGAAATGTGTTTTGGAGAGAAAAAATAAATGGAAACTAAATTTGAAAACAAATTTATTTGACTTGTTTGTAGTTGTCTCACGTTTGACATTTAGTTTTGTATGCAATGTGGTTATAAGATATCCAAATATATTTAATTTTTATTCGTTTGACTTCTTCTTCTACAGGTCGTTGTCAACGATTTGGATCCCAAGCTGGCTTACATTCAAGTGACCCATGTGATACCCTTCTTTACAAAAGATGAACTCGATCAAAGACTGAATGAATTCGAACAGAATCATGATGTGGATACATTTATGTATGAGACACCATTTACAAAGTCGGGTGCGGCCCGCGGTTCGGTGGAAGAGCAATGGAAGCGTAAAACTATTATTAAAAGTGAGTATAAAGCTGAAATAAAGCTGTATTACCCATATTGAAAAACGTTTGAAAATTATTAGATTGCGTTGATAAAAAATAAAATATTTATATTTTTATCTTAATTTTAAAATTGTGCACACCCGCAACCATTATGGCATGAGCCTGATAAGGCCTTGTAAAAAATCGCAATTGGTCTTCTATGAATGTAAAATACCTTCCCTTTTTAATTCATGTATAGATGTGAGTTATTTTCAAAAGGATCTATGACCTTCTGGGATATAAGACCTTTTTTATACCCTCAGCTAGATGGCTAGAGAGGGTATATATCAATTGATACGGACAAAACAAATAACGGTTTTAGACCGTAGGTCTCTTTGGGTCAAACACCGTTTCAGGACATTTGGAGTCGATCTAGCGATGCCCGTCCGTTTGTCTGGCTGGTGCGCACGATAACTTTCGAAGGGAGTATCTGATTTGGCCCAAACTTGGTAAATGGTAATATTATTATCAAACTGAGTTGGATATGGTCAATATCGGTCCACATAAAGAGAAAGGATAATCCTCAATCAATCAATTTTGCTCCAAATTTGCAAATCCCAATATCAAATCAAGTACCTCGCCCACAAAGGGTTAACGCGAGTCACACAGGCCAATTTCGTTTTTGTCGCCAATAGCAAAGACTCTCGAGGCTTTACTCCTCCCCAGTATCAGAGGAAGCTAATCAGTTGCTAACCATCAACACGTTTTCCGTCCGTTACATAGGACCACAACAGCATATCCACACATATCAGTCGAGGACTCAACCAGCACAGGCCGTGCCATAGAACAGCAGTGGTGACTCATGATCTATCAAAGGCCTTTGATACGGTCAACCATGCCACGCTGATCGAGAACGTTGAAAATACTACCCTCCGGCCAAGTTAGAAACATTGAATAGTCAATTATATGTGTGGACACCAGTCGTACGTGGAATTCCGGAACAAGAAGTCCAAGCCCCGTAGAGTGAATCAGGAAGTTGCCCAAGGTGGGGTGATATCTCCGGAACTGGTAAACCTCTACCTTTCCGGAATTCCGCGCCCTCCAGACGGCATCAAGATCGGAACATATGCGAATGACTACGATAATGGTGTCGGGTACTTTAGTTTATCACATATTTGTCAGGGTGAACAGCTATCTCGCGGAGCTTGCTGCCCTGCTTCCATGAGAGGAATATGAAAATATCCGCCACTAAATCAACGGCCACACTATTTACCACATGGAGTGCGGAGATGAGAACACAGGTGAATGTGCAGGTCGAGGGGCACATAATTCCGACAACTAACTACAGAAATAAGCATCTGGTTCTCTTCAAATAACACACATCACAATATTTTTATCGGTCCACTCCTTCTAGTACCTTCTCCACAAAGCGTCAGAATTTTGAATATTTATGAAGCTTATAAAACGCGAAATTAATATCCGACTTCATTCGGACTTGGCATATCTCAATATTTCTATCAACACAAGATATGTTATAAAGATGGTAGAGATCGGACCATTCCTTCTGGTACCTCCCCCACATGGGGTTCAAAATTTTAAAAAACGAAACGTTCAAAAAAAAAAAAAAAAAAAAACGAAATATGCATCCAAGTCTCTTCAAATTCCACACATGATATGCTATGATGATATGATATATATCTGCGAACACCTTCTCGTACCTAACCAACAATTTTCAATACTTTTATCTGGCATAAGTTCAAATTCGGATGTTTTCAAAATGTTTATTTCAACGTATGCATCGACAAAATCTAGAGTTTTTGTAGCGAAATAATCCTTTAGAGATATATAGTACATGATTTTGAAAAGAAGTGTTGAACTTTCATTCAGTTATCGCGGTTTTCAATTATTTATTCAAAATAAATGCAAAAAGTTGTTTGATTTTTTATTGTTTTGATACTAATTTTGACATTACAAGCCAAACAGGTATACCTCTATACTTGCAATTTTTTCAAAGTTGACCTACCTTCTCTTCATTGTACCATGCTTGTTCCCCTGTAATTATTGAAAATATAGAATTTTGTCTCACAGTGTTTTCAAATCTCACAAGTTTTCAATGGGGTCTTTTGTCTTTAAGCCAACTATGAACATAATTTTAAAGGTCTATGCGGTTTTCAATCAAAAAAACATTTTTAGGTCTATCTGATTTTCTATTGACTAAAAAATAATTTAATTTTTCTCTTCATTGATGCCAAATACGTATAAAAATCTTCTGTCTGTATATAATTTTCCAGATTCACTTTCTTCCTCATTGAATAAAAAATCATAATTTTCAATATCTCCCATTTATATCGCATTTTCAATATTTACTCCCATTTCTCTTTTCAGCTACCTACTCGTTTCCTTACGTTTTGAAACGTATACCGGTGAAATCAAGAGAAATTATTGAACTGAGTCCCATTGAGGTGGCCATTGATGAAATGCAAACCAAGGTTTCAGAACTGGGTGAGACCATATTACCGCCGGCTGATGTAAAGAAATTGCAACTGCGGCTTCAAGGTAGTGTGGCGGTACAAGTTAATGCCGGTCCCCTGGCATATGCTCAGGCATTTTTGGATCCCAAAGTCATTAATAATTTTTCCGTGGATCGTGTTGAAGATTTGAAAGATGTTTTCAGGTAAATTCCAAAAAATAAAACTATAAAAAACACCCAAATAATTGTTTAATTTTCTTTCTTTCAGGGACTTCATTGGTGTCTGCCACACCGCACTGCAGCTGAATGCCCGCATGATAAGCAGCGATCAAAAGGAATATCACAATGCCCTGAAGGAGAATTATCAGAAAATGTGTCAAGAATTGGGTGAACTATTGGATGAGTCATTCCAGCCGCTGGAGGATAGCGCAAATAATACACAACGCAATAGCATGGCATTGTTTAATGCCATTAGCGGAACTTCGAACAATTCAAGTACTGCCTAAACCAATTATGTTTTCTCTCTTTCGTTTTTGTGTAGTAGTACTTTAAGCTAGAAGAAAACAGGAAAAAAATATCCATCAAGGAAACAAACTAAAGAATTTTTTCAGAAATATGTAGTTTAGTTTATAATAATTATTAGTCTATGTCAATGTAATGGGAGACGAGGTGTCGAGTGAATGTTTGGTGGAATGGATGATTGAATGAATGCATGCGTGTGTGTCTGTGTCTTGATATCAAAATATGTGTTACTAACTTAAAAAAAAAATATGAAGATAAAAAACAACATTCAAAACGACTCAAAATAATATCTACTAAACCGAAATACTCCATAGATGTATTCTCTAGAAATGTAAACGTATATACATATATTTTTCTCACATTTATATATTTTCGTAATTAACCCACTTTTTTGTACTCCTAACTCCTGCTGTTGTGTCTGAAGGGTTTTTTTTTTCAAATAACTTTTTAAAAACATAATTTATTTCTCATGAAATCTACTCAACTGCACCACTGTACGAAAATGGTTTTCCATTTAGAGAAAATCTGTATTAGGCCTTGGGTCTGTAGGAGGCGCGATAAAGGGCTTGTTTCTGTATGACGATACGAATATTTATACGAAAGAAGAATGCAATTCCAAATAAGTCCTTCATAATTCTCTCTGATATTTAACTTCAACACCTTCCACCTAGTCCATAGACTTTCTGACGATAAAAATATTTATATGGACCATTAGATCGCCTACCAAACTTCTTAAGATTTGGTATAGTCGCCATATAACGGTTTCTCACGATATTCGGTATTTTAATGACTTTCGCCAAGGTTTTTGTCAAGGATTTGTCTAAAAATTGGTATTTGTAAGTCATAATGAGCTCTAGCTTCGGTGGCGAAACTTTGTATGCATAGGTTTCCCCGTTTCCGTTTTGGTATGGCCCCCATATAACGGGCTCACACACTTTATATATATGTTTTAAGTTTAACAGCATTATCCAAAGGGTCTTACTGTTATTTGTTGTTTAAAATAGAACACGTTTGAATTCCGCATCCTTAATATAAAAATGTTTTCTCTACCCAATGGTGGTGGGCCCGGGCGAACCTATATTTTTTACTTGATTTCATTCGCCCCCATTCAATATTTATGAAATACTTCTAATTCCCTTTCCATTAATCGAAAATTTGTAGAAAATCTTCAATATTAAGAACTGCTATTTATAGAAGACCGATCGCATCTAAAAGGAAGCTATGGAAGAAAAAATGCAACATTTTAAAAGGACATAGTTTACAGATTTTCAGTACAGAAGATACCTCATGTTTATGGTCTCTTTCAGATTAGAAGGCCTTCTTAGGTCTTCTATAAGTGGAAGACTAATTCTAATTTGTTCTTTTTTGCAAAAAAAAAAAAAAAAAAAAAAAAACGTAAAAAAGCAGCGAAGTTTGGCCGGGCCGAACTTTAAATACCCTCCACCATTTGGAAAGAACTTGAAAATTTTCAAAAAAAATTCGGAAAGTACCACTTAAATGAACACCGTTATATACGGACTATACGAAGACGTGGACCTGCATATGCAATTTTTTGTCATAGACCATTACGAACTTCAAATACGAAATTAAAATCATGAAAGTACCGTATATCGGGAGGTACCGTCATATGGGGGCTATACGAAGACGTGTACCTCCATGGTCCATTTACAAACTTAATCTGCCTTCTGGTAAACTATGCATGTATGCAAAATTTAAGCCTTCTATCTCAATTCGTTCGAAAGATAGCGTGATTACAGACAGACAGACGGACAGACAGACGTTAATTCGTCTTAGAATTTTACGCTGATCCCTCCATAGAATGGTGGAGGATACAAAACCTTTTTGAAAATCCTAGATAGAAAGAAAACATTTCAGTTATTCTAAAAGGAAGACTATAAAGAGAAAGAAAATTCAGGACTTCTTTTTAGGCCTCTAATGTATACTTGACCTTTTCAAAGAAAAATAATCCTCGAGAGAAGACCTTTCAGTTCTTCTATGGATGGAAGACCTTTTAAATGCCTTCTGAAGCAATGCCCTTTTGAGGTATAGAAGATCCATATTAGGTCTCCTATGTACAGAAGGACTGTAGGAAGCTCCTAAAAATTGCCTTTCTTATTTATGGATCGCTTATAAAGGGTCTTTATATACAAAAGACTTTTGATAGTCCATCAATCTCACTTGGAGATTCGTTTGGATATAGAAAACCTGGGGCCAAATTCTCCCGCTTGGTTTTGAACACTCTTCAATCGAAATGAATTTGTGTATCAAGCACATGAATAAATTCATTTCGATTGAAAAGACAATTTTACAATTTTTTACAGAAAATGTATTAACAACAGTTCGGTTAAGTTAAGTTAACGATCTTCTTAAATGGTGCCTGTCTTTAAAAGATACCTCAAAAATATTCTTTCTATCTATTGAAGACTCGAAAAATTGTCTATGTGTAGATGACTTCTTGAAGGACTTTCTTTCTAGAAAGCCTTTACAAATTAAAGACAAATATGGAAGGTGAAGAATTGCGAGAGGTACTTTGTTTATGTAAGATCTGTAAAGAATCCCTGTCCATGGAAGAATCTAAAAGATTTTCTGATTATTAAAGTTATTTTAATGTTTGGATAATAGTAAAGAAATGTAAAAGGTGTCAACATTTCTAAAATGAAATCAGCTTTATGGTCCAGTATTAAACCAGCTGATGGCGATGAATGAGAGGCCCATAACAATCTTCTTGGCTCGTTATCGATATCCTTAAAAAAGAATCTTAGAAAAGTACAGTTGGTGTGGTGTTTCCTATCACTTTTCCGACCCTAGTGTTATTTGTTTCATATTCTAAAAAAACCCTTCTCTAATCCTGGTGATGGTTTTGTATATTATTTATAGGATTATAGTAAGTAGTTAAACAAAAACTTTGTGATGGTGTGGATTTTTTGTAAACAAAAAATTGAAAACGTAACAAAAAAAAAAAAATTGGAACCAAAGTGGTGAAATGATTTGCTATGAAATGTAATTGTTGTTTTTTAAATTAATAATGAATTGTTTTTTTATTTTTTAATTTTAGGTTTTGGTTTTGCAGTTTATTAGAAAACAAAAAAAAAAAAAAAAATGCTAAACCGTTAATGAAATACATAAAAACAATTAAATATTTTAACAATATACAAAAATATAACACAAACCATATTAGGCTACCAATACCACAAATAAAGAAAGAAAAAAAAACTGGAAAATAAAATTTCCTCCCTAAATCCACCCTCCCTGAACCATATGCCAACAACAAAATGCTTTCAACTACCATTACAGCTAACATTATTAAAAGAAAATGTCAAAATTCTAAAATTTTATATTAATTGAATTATTTTTTATTTTATTTTTTTAATTATAAATAATATTTTTCTGATTGCCACAGTATAACTGTAATCAATATTGTTTTTAATTTTTATATTTATATTATTTTTTTTAAAATGATTTCTTGCTGAAATAATTGTGCATTTATTTTAAGCTTTAAACTCACTACTCTTTTGCCTCTCAAACTCACTCTCTCTATTGAATTGTGTGTCTAACTCTCTCTCTCTCTTTAGTAGGGAATTACAAATGAGCATAAACTTAAAATAAATTGAAATCAAAATTATAAACATACATTTTAGCCATTTAAGTAATTAACAAAACAAACATCAAACAACTTATGCATTCATTATGAACATTATAGAATAGCTAATTTAATTAATTAATGCAAGCACAATTGTCTTTAAAAATAAATACCCAAAAAACTAAGTCTATTGCTCCTAATATTTAAAGATATTATTTTCCTTTTTTACTTACTTATATTACATAGAAAAAAGAGTTCAAATACTATTGCCTAAGATTATATTTTATTATAATGAAAAATATAATTTTTGTATATTATTTTCTGTTTTTACTTTCGTTTTCAATATTTTTAATTATTAACCTATAATTTTTTGTTTTGTAGCCTTTAAAGCAAATTACCAAAGTTAAGTATTTTTTAAATTACTTTTTATTATTAATTGTATGTATTTTGTAATTATTATTATTATTATTATACACTCCCAACAAGCAAGCCTATTACACAACCCACAAAAATCAATTTTTCATATTTATAAAATTTATTAAATGAAATAATAATTTTCATTGTTTTTAAACAAACAAAAAATTCGAAATATTAGTTATAATTTAAAAAAAAAAACAATCTATGTATGTATATGTAATACGTTAATAAATGTTATTGAAAAATATACACACTTTGTTGTTTATTCCATGTTGTCTGTAGATCAATACCCCAAAAGAGTTTTGGGTTCTTAGGCCGAACTCCGTTTAAGACCCTTGATATGAAGTCTTAATCACACACAAAAATATCTCAATATTTTGAGCCATATTTCGCAGTTTTGAATTTTAAGCTTTGACATTATGTAGAGCTTTAAAGAATAATTGGGTTAAAAAAACAAGTTAAAAAGTATCAGTCGGTTTTGCCGACAGATGTATACCCTCATCCATAGTACTCTCCACTACAGCAAGGAGGGTATATTAAGTTTTTCATTCCGTTTGCAACACCACGAAATATACATACATATTGTATATATTCTTGATCAGCATAAAATTCTACATCAATTTAGCGATGTCCGTCTGTCTGCCCCCATATAACGGTACCTCCCTATATTCGGCATTTTGATGATTTTAGCGGCATTATTCGCAGGAATTGTTTCAAATCTCGTATTTGAAGTTCCCATTGGGAACAGAAATTAGAATATGCAGGTCAACGTTTCCGTATAGCCCCCATATAACGGTACCTCCCCACATTCGGTCTTTTGACGATTTTAGCGACATTATTCACCGGAATTGTTTCAAGTTTGGTATTTGAAGTTTGTAATGGATTTGTCTTGCGTTCGTATAGACCCCATATAACGGTACCTCCCTATATTCGATATTTTGATGATTTCAGCGACAATAATTACCGGTTATGCTTATTTCTCTATTTTTGAGCATTTTGTTTTTCAAAATCTTGAACCCTTTGTGTGGGGGAGGTACGAGAGGAAATGGTCTGATCTCTACCATTTTTGTAACAGATCTTGTCTAGATGGAAATATTGAGATGTACCAAATCTAAATGGAATCGGATGTTAATTTCACGTTTTATGAGCTCCATGGATATTCAAATTTTTGACCCTTTTCAATTTCCCTTTTCCATCTTCACACCAGGCCGTGGGTTAATAAAAATATTGGGATATGTGAAAAATGAAGACAATCGGATTCTTACTCCATATTCTATAAGAGTTGTAATTATTCAAAATTTTGACCCTTTGTGGGGAAGGTACTTGATGAAGTGGACCGATATTGGCCATTTTCGCACCTGACCTAGCACTGTTGCAAATATTAGGATTTGCAAAGTTGGAGCAACATCGGATTATCGTTTCTTTTTCTGTGCAGAAAATATATTTAACTTGTTTCCATCTAAATAAGGAAACATTTCCTGCAGAATATTATCAATATAGATCCATGTTTTGATATAGCCCTCATAGAATGGTACTCGCTGATTTTAGTTAGTTATTTCGGGAGTCTTAACCCCATTTTTCAGTCCCCCATATATTATTAAATACTCTTATTTTCCATCTGTTGCAATCTGCATTACAAATCTAATATCCACCCCCATCTGTTGGCGGTGATGAAAATTAGATTTTTCTCTTTTTGACGTCACGACTCAATTGAGAATGAGTTTTACAGAAATTTCATGAAATACCAGGGGCCCAGATTTAAATAGCAGGCACTCCGACAAAAATAATTAAAAAACTCACATCTGGCAACTTCATAATTGTAATTAAAATTCAAAGCATACTTTGAGGTGCTTAATTAAACCCAACTTTAGAGGGGTGTTGCCTCAACATAAACTACTACTAATAGAATGTTTCATCCCAGGCATATAAAAGCATTATCCAGGGTGGGGCCCAGGAGGCACGAGCCCCTCCGAAATGGTAAACTCTTAGATATTGTTAGGAAACTTTGATTTAAATCCCATTTTTTGTAGCAGGTGATCGATTTCAGAATACAAGCACTATTCCTTCACATTTAGAACTACTGGATCCTTTTTATACCCTCAGTCATATGGGTATAACTTTTGGTCCATACTTTACTGCACAGAAATTAACACCCGATTTTGCTACAATGATCTAAATTTTAATTTTTGCATTAGTGCTGAGTCAGGTGCGAAAATTGACAATATCGGCCCACTCCATCGAGTAACATCCGTCGCAACAGTTCGAGATTTTGAATAATTTTAACTGTTTAAAAATATGATGTAATAGTCTGATTGGCTTCAACACTTTTTTCCATTTTTATAAGCCAACGGTCAGGTGTGAAGATGCAATATTTGGGTCCAGTCCTTCTAGTACCTTCCCCACAAAGGGTCAACATTTTGAATAACAAAAACGATCATAGAATCCGAAATATGCATTCGGTTCTCTTAATGTTTCACATATCTCAATATTTATACCAACACAAGATCTGCTGTGAATATGGGATATATCGGTCCACTCCTTCCGGTACCCCACCCACAAGGGTCAACATTTTGAATATCCATGAAGATCATATCTCAATATTTCCACCAACAGAAAATATGTTATAAATATGGTAGAGATTGGTACCTCCCCCACATAGGTTTCAAGATTTTGAAACAACTCTTTAAATATATCTAAATATTTCTCTTAAGATGAAATCTGATATGAATATGGAATTTCTTATTTCACATAAAATTGGATATAATATTTTATTTTCTTGTAATTTAACCCATACCAATATTTTTATTTGTATTTGATGAAGTATGAAAATGAAATACATAGGTCGGCTATATCGGGTACGTCATGCATATTTCAATATTTTCCAGAAATGACCAAATATCTCATATAAAGTAAAGAAAATAACCAATCGAGTCCAAACCTGGCACATCGCAATGTTTATATCATATTTACCTAGGTCCGATACGAAATGGACAATATTGTTCCATTCTTTCGGAACCTACTCCATATGGGGTCAACAATTGGAATAATCATAACATAAGTCAAAATATAATTAAATAATCGAACATTGGCTGAGGGTATATATCTGTCGACAAAACAGACTGATACTTTTTAACTTGTTTAATTATTAATTCAATCTTATCTGGCAATACCGTGGGTATTAATGATCACCTGTAATTTTTTGTTAAGGTTTGCTACCTACTATTTTTTTATTTGTAGGAGACATATAATGGATCGCCTATTTATAGAAGACATATTATGAAATTTCTTAAATGTTTGAACTATGGGAAACTTATAGTCTGTCGTCTACTAAAACAATTTAAAATAATTTATCTGTAGTAGAAGAATAGATTTCCCAAAAAATATCTATAGACTCCTATTTAGGGCTTCAGTTCAGGTAACGTAAGATAAATAATGACCGAACCACTCAGTCGGATTTTCTTTTGGTTTTTTAAGATGATTGAGTATATAATCATTTTTCAGTGTAGGAACACCATATAAATGGTCTCGTAGTATGAGCCTAAAATTATGCTACACATTTTACACAATTAATTAAGTTGCCAGTCAAACATTTTGTGATCGGTTAATTTTTTGGTTGAACATTATTCTCAAAACATTTTTTGAGAAGATACTATTTCAATTCACTAATTTTCCTTTGATTTCGTCAAAATATTCCATTTCAGGTTGCCACTATGTAGAAACCTTCCTTTCACAAAATTAACTTTATTTTGAGAAATTTGAAAATTAACTGGGTTTTGCTGATAAAAGGGTTCACTTACAAACAAAAGACTTTTTGGTCTCCATCAGGCATAACATTTCTCTAAATTTCCCCATAATTGTTGAGGATCAAGGATTTTAATTCGTCACTCCCGAAAAACAAAAATTAATAAAATTCTGCAATTTTTAGTTCAATTTTGTTGTATCGTTTTTTGTCTTTATTAAATAAATGCAATTTAAATGATTGTTTTTTGTTTTGTAGACAGAAAATAAACATGGTTCACACCGAATACAGAAGAAGAAGAATAAAAATAAGTAAGAGGAAGAATAAAATGTGATGATGGTTTTTGTTGTTTAGAATAAAATATAACGATTTTTTAAAACTATTTAACATAAAAAACAAAATAATCCATATCAAATTTCTTTTATAACAAATCATGAAAAAAATAAACAATAACAGATTTCATATGTTGTTGTCGTTTTTTAGAGGGTAAAATATAAATTATTTTTTGTTTTGTTTTTTAGAAATAAACTTAAAATTAAAAAAAATGTTTGTTTCTGCTTCTGCTTTCATTTTCTAGTCAGAGGAGCATCAATTTTGAATGAGACAAGGGTGAGGTGGTGGTAGAAGAGAAATGCTTAATTCTCAAATACGAAATAACCAAATAAAATAAATGAGATTTTTTTGTTGAGAGACGCAGATCCAATTTTTGTTTTAAGGGCTTGGCTGGTTGATTTTTTCGGATGTTTTCCAAGAAAATCTTAAAATTCAATTTATTTAAATACGCAATCCAGGATTACGTGAGCGCACAAAGTTCAACAACTCATCGGAATCTTCGCAGACGAATGGTTTCAAATGATGGCAAGCCACATCGTGCCATTTGATGCCATCGTTGTAGAAGTTGTTCAAAATCGAGAGACACGATTCATCGTTACCCTGGGCAGCTTCACGATTATCGGGTTGAGGTTGATTGTAGCCACCAGTGGATGACCAATCGCCAGTGTTGCGTTGAGAGGTGGGACCGATTTTAGCACCTGATCCGGACCAGAACCAGCCATTTTCATTTGGTGGTTGCAAATCGGGACGGTCACAGCCGGCGAAGTTACACTTACGACCCGATGTCCAAATGTAACGAACATTGCCGCGTGCTATACGCTGCTTGATGAACTCGTTCTCTTGAGGTGTTTCCAGCGACACGGCATCCATACAATGGCGACGGCAAATGTTACGAGCATCCAACCAATCGACCTCGAGACTGCGGGTTGGTGCATGCTCCCAACTGAAGAAGTACGAATGGCTAACACCACGAGCATCGCGGTAAGAGGCATGACGAACACCTGGAAGGAGATGGTGGTTTAAGATATTAATAATGCAAATGTAAAACATAATAAAATCTCCAGGACTTTGAAAATCTGCATATAACGGAGGGGGAAGCAGTGATTGATTGACAAAACGACAATGATTTTTTTTTTGAAAATCCAAACTCTTACAGTTCTTGTTTATTACTGAAGATGAAGGTCCCCTATATACAATACATATTTGTCAACATTTTACCCCTGAAAGTCCAATAAGATCGCCTTTATTCAAGTAGTAGGTGGTATATGGGGGTAATAACGAATGAATGTTCTTTGGTTACGGCTTTGGCGACACTGACGAAATGCTATTCTTTAAATTGCAACGCTGGTGAAAATCTATCTTGAATCTGGTAATGCCGTAGGTAATAATGCTGTTATATTTTGTTGAAGTAGAACTACAATTTACTACCTATTCATTTCATGCCTGTAGGAAACACTCTAGCTTTCGAACAAAATAAAGTACATTGATAAAATTTTACTCACGTGTAGTTTAGGTTCGTAACATAGTTGGTATTGGAAATAGTCCCCATATAACTGTACCTCCCGATATTCGGTATGTTGATCATTTAAGATAAATTATTCAAGGGTATTATTTTAAAAATAGTATTTGGTATTGGCAATAGCTTTTATTTTTAACTTTACTGGTCATTTCCATCTAATCTGGCAATGCCATAGGTAATAGTGATCAACTGTTATTTTTCTTTGTTGAGATAGAATGCCCATCTTCTACCTACTGACTTTATGTCTGTAGTGAATGTCTTCAATAGATCTTCTATCTATGGAAAACAAATTATGAAATTTCATAGACGATGTTGAAACTTTCGAAGATGCAAAGGAATATATAAACAATTTTTTCAGACTTGAGATCTTGAACCATTTAACTTTACTTCTAATTCTGGACTTTTGTCAGCCTGGGGACATATAAATATACCAGGGAGCTACAACCGAGTTTGCGTTAAGAATTGTAATTGCCCAAGTCAACGCCTGTAGAAATCAAAGGCGCACTTAATATTTATAGTCAAACATATCATTAAGCAAGTAAAAAACAGCTATTTGGAAGAAACTTGAAAAATTTCAACAAAAAAATCCCGTCGATAAAATACCGTTTGAAAGAAAATCGTTATATACACAGACGTGCAAAGTCTGTAGTAACGGCTCCGAACTTCAAATACGAAATTTGAAACAATACCGGTGTATAATGACGCAAAAATTATGAAAATACCGAATATCTGGGGGTACCGTTTTATGGGCGCTATACTAAAACGTGGACTTATGTAGACAGTTCTCTTTCAGGGAGTAAAGTACTAAGAAAGAACCTCTTGTGTGGGTTTTAAGACAATTCCATTGAAAATTTGGCCTGAAATCATTAAAATACCGAATATCGGATAAAGAACTCACAAGAAAATCCTTGCGTGGATTTTCAGATAATTTCGTTGAAAAATGCGGCTAAAATCATCAAAATACCTAAATTCGGGAGGATCCAATATATATGGGGATATACGATAACGTGGATAAAATACTCACAAGGAACTCCTTGTGTAGAATTTCAGACAATTCCATTGAAAAATGTGGCTAAAATCATCAAAATACTAAATATCGGGGGTACCGTTATATGAGGGCTATACGCTATCATGGACCGATATAGTCTACCTTTGAACTTGACATGCCTGCAGACAAAAGACAAATCTGTGGAAAATTTTAGCTTCATTCAATGATGAACTTAATATACCCTTGATACTATTGTATGATGAAGGGGATAAAAATGATTCGAAAGTAAATGATTTTTAATTGGAGATTAAAATAATTGAAAGGGAACCTTATGAATACCTTTTCCAAGTAGTTATTAGCCTTGTTAAGACGTATCCATTACTGAACATCGGAAACTTTTGTCCTAATAAATGTGGGGATAGTAAAACCCAATAATTCATTGTCAGTGTAGAAGAAAATCCCACGAAAGGGAAGCCCAAGGTCCTTCTAAGGCTACTCGTTACTGACAAAACAGAAAGAAAAGATTAGTGAATGTTACTGATTGTTAGTTGAGGGAAAGTTCCATAGTTTCTGTAGTTTGGAATCAGTGGAGACGAACGTCGGCTAGCAATCATAGACAGAAATTTTCCTTAAGGGAAGTTTTTTGGTTTCTTTCACGGATAAGTGAACATGCTTTTATTGAGGTCCCTTTGGAGCCTACATTCCCTTGGCACGGGAGAAAGTCTTCCTAGTCTGAAGATTTTCCCTACAACTCTTCTTTGGGCCTTCGTTAGCACAGCTCGGATCGTAGCCAGCTTTTCCAAGTCATTTTTCTACAACTCTATCTGGTTACTTTCGTAGTCCGTGTTGTTGTTAGAGATTTCCTGTAAGCATCGGTGCTTACCTAGATGCATTGCGGCTTTGTTTGCATATTGACACTCTTTTGCTAGCTACGGAGTTAACCGCATAAAAAAGGTAATTTGTCGGCTCGGGTTGACAGCTCTTACAGCATCTAACATAAACGGTAATTTATATTTATTATATTTAAACTAATCCTTCTTGGTTTTATTTATCTTTCAATTTCTTTACGGTCCGGGTTGGTTTTCCAGGTAGAACATTAACTTCTCATATGGAATATTCCTTTCCATTCCAGTTGAGGCCAAATCTTGCTGCGCTCAAATAACTACAAACAATGCAAGTTACATAGTAGCATTCAACTGGGGCTAGATTTGGATTTGAATGGTCGGAAGGATACGTTTAAAATTGGTATATATCTCCCAATCTTAAGCAACGGTTACAATATTCTTAGAGAAGGGTTTCGCATAAAAGACTGCCGAGGTTCCTCATTTAATTAAATACATCTCACTGGTCTTAACGTTTCTTTTTCGTTTATAAAAATATTCGTATGACTTGAAAATAGTCCTTTTTAAAAAATATTCTGCTCTCTTTTGTCATACTTACGATTAGAACAACTCCTGGGATCTGGCAATGCTAGACGTCTTTGAGCCAAAGTCATGGTGGCGCCCAACGCCAACAACAGCATAGTACGTAGCACCGACATTTTTATGTTTTTTTTTTTTTTTTTTTTGTGACACAAACAGTTGATGTGAGTGACGGCAGCGATTAACTAAAATTGAAAAAAATAATTTCAAAATGAGTTAAAGTTGTGTTTGGCTGGAGATTCGAAAACTAAATGCCGCTAAAATTTTGTTTACAACTATGAAACTGAATCATTGTCAATAGTTTTTGATTTTTTTCGTGTTAGGTGGAGTCTGGGGTAGGGTGTTTCGGCCATTGGTCTGTTTCGGTTTTGTTTTTCATTTTCAATAGATGTTCCTAAAGCGTTAATATTGTTGTTCCGACTATTCTCTGGAAAAATTGTAAACAAAACATCCGACGCACCTTTAGTTCCGCTTCATTGGTATTGTACAGAAAAAATGAGAGCGAAATTTTAATCTCAGCCTAATATTTGTAATATATACAAAAGGTGGGCTGGTATTGAATAGTATATTCATAGCAATTTGTATTGGGAAAATAAATGCTGTTACATTTTGTAAACTCTTCGTTTCGTAGAACCAATGTATGTCACCTGTTTGGGTTTGGTTTCGGAAAACATAACAATTGTACTTGTGGAGCTGTGGTACAAAAAGGAAAATGTTGTTAAAAATAAATAATGAAGTTCTCAAGATTTTTTGGTTTGGACTGACCGAAAAGTATGTACAGCAGAAAGTGGTCCAGAACCATAGGTTGGTAAATGGAACGGAAGAAGGTTCCAAATAAGAACAACCACTTTTTGCACTCGAGGAAGAAAATTTACGTCTTAATTGGGATGAAGGAGTCTGTGGAAGGGGTGGTCAGCAAATATGGCTTAGGAATCCCACATACTCCCTGAAAAGAGGCATACTCCAATACTTCCTACTGATCTAAATAAAATTTGTCTTCTAGGTTCTGATAATCTAAACAATTGCAATATGTCTGTCACAACAAAAAGCGGATGTTATTTTATATTTTAAAGGAAAACTTTTAAAGGGTAATTAAACCCTCAACCATAACGCTAGAGAGGGTATATATCATTTGAAACGGCAAAAACGTGCCTCATAACTGTTTTAGACCCTAGGTCTCTTTGGACCAAATCCGTTTCAGGACATTTGGAGTCGATCTAGCGATTTCCGTCCGACCGAATGACTGTCTGGCTGATTGGCACGATAACTCTCGAAGGAAGGTATATCGTAATATAATTGTCAAATTTAGAACGAGTTCAGAGATGTGCAATATTGATCCACACCTTCTGGTATCTCCCACAAAAACGGTCGACATTTTCAAAAAAAAAAAAAAAAAAAAAAAAAAAAAATACTGCACAGAAACAGAAAGGATAATCCAAATTTGCTTTAACTTTGTAAATACTAATATTTTTATGAGTGCTATGTCAGGTGCGAAAATGGACAATATCGGTGCATTCCATTATGCACTCCCACCACCACCCACAAACGGTCAAAACTTTTGATGTACGAGTCTGATTGTCTTCAAATATTTTTCCACAATATTTTTTATTAATCCATTTTCTGGTGTGAGTATGGAAAATATAGGTCCACTCCTTTGGCTACCTCCCCCACAAAGGATCAAAATTTTAATAGTCATGAAGCTCATAAAAACGGAAATTAATATCCGATTCCATTCAGACTTGGTGCATCACAATATTTCTACTAACACAAGATCTGCTGTGAAAATGGGATATATCGGCGCACTACTTCTGGTACCTCCGCCTCAAAGGGTGAAAATCGTTAATACTCATGAAGCTCATTAAACGCAAAATCAACATCCGTTTCCATTCAGACTTGGTATATCTTAATATTTTCATTAACACACGATCTGTTACAAATATGGTAGATATTCGACCTCTCCTTCTGGTACCTCCCCCACAAAGGGTCAAAGTTTTGAATAAACAAAACGATCATAAAATCCGAAATAAGCATCTGGTTCTCTTCAAATTACACACATCACAATATTATTATTAACCCCAGGTCTGGTGGGAAGATGGGATATATCGGTACACTGCTTCTGGTACCTCCCCCACAAAGGGTCACCATTTTGAATACTCATGGAGCTCACAAAATACGACATTTACATGCAATTCCACTCAGACTTGGCACATCTCAAAATTTACATCACCACAATATGTGTTATAAAGATGGTAGAGATCGGACCATTTCTTCTGGTACCTCCCCCACAAAGGGTCAAAGTTTTGAAATATCCAAAACGAACATAAAATCCGAAATAACGATTCGGTTCACTTCAAATTACACACACCACAATATTTTTTACTAACCAAAAGTCTGATGTGAATGTGGGATATATCGGTCCACTCTTTCTGGTACCTCCATCGCAAAGGGTTAAGATTTTGAATATCCATGAAGCTCATAAAACGCGAAATTAACATCCGATTATCCAATGGGCACATCTCAATATTTCCATCAACACAAGATGTGGTATAAAGATGGTAGAGATTGGACCATTTCTTCTGATACCTCCTCCACATGGGGTTCAAGATTTTGAAAAACAAAACGTTCAAAGAAAGCGAAATAATTATCCTACACTCTTTAAATTTCACACACCCAAACATTTTTGTTAATAAAAGATCTGCTCTGAAGATGATATATATCTGCGAACACCTTGTGGTATCTCTCTCACAAAGGGTCACAATTTTTAATACTTTTATCTGTCATAACTTCCGATATAACTCAGCGATTTTTTAAAACTTGCTATTTCTAAATATTTTTCTCAACCAGTGACTTGAAGAGAATATGAAATTTATAGGAATTTATGATTTCGCATAAAATTTGGTATAAATGTTCGATTTCCTTCCAATTTGCACACACCAATATTTTTATCTGTATTAGATGAAGTATAAAAATGGAATACTTCGATCCGCTAAATCTGTTACCTCACGTATATTTCCACAATTTCCAAAAATTTGCAGATATCTCATATAAAGTATAGGAAGAAGTCGATATAGTCCAAATGTGGAACGTCGCTATATTTATATCATATTTATTTAGGTCCGATACGAAATGGACAATATTGGCCCATTCCTTGGGAACCTACTCCATAGAGGATCAGCAATTTGAATAATCATAACAGAAGTCAAAATATATTTAGATAAACGAACATTGGCTGAGTGTATACATCTGTCGGCAAAACCGACTAATACTTTTTAACTTGTTTTAATTTCAAATCGGCAAGCTGTTACAAAACATCCTTTTAATTTCAGTTCCTAAAAATTATTAATGCCATTAATTTTCCTAGTTGGGGGTACTGTTTTCCATTCAGGAAAATCCGACAGAATTTACTACAGCCAAAAACGTTTTTGAAATCAATAAAAGGTATCTTTCATTGCCGTGCAGGTGTGGTGTGGTGAAGCATATCATCGCCTCGATCTAGCCATGTAAAACCTGTGTTTTATTTGTAAGTATTTTTCCATTGGTCAACTGACATTTATTGCCTTCATTAGTTTCAATTTTTTGTCAATCCAAATCGAATCAAATGAAGACAAACAAAATAAATGAAAACAATTTATTTTAATTAAATTCTATTATTTCGATGATGTTTAACCAATGAACAAATGAACATTTCATTGGAAATCTAATCAAAATCAACAAATCGAAACACAAAAGAAATGTAGTTGTAAAGTCAGATTGATTTGTTAATTTGAATGTCATAAAATAATGTGGGAAGAATTGTAAGTGGAAATAGTGATTTTTGTAATAAAAGCTAAGCAATTTAAACATTTAGAAAATGCAAAAATGTTGAGGCAATATGTTGCCAAGTAGCAAAGTTGGACAACATGTTGCAAAACAATAAATGTTTGGCAACATTTTGAAATTGTTGCTTGGCAACATTCCACTACCTCCTGATAACAAATATGAAGATGAATCCACTCTTCATCACTTTTTCTTGCAATTGAGTTGTGACAATCAAATGAAGCAACAAATGTTTGACAACATGTTGCTACAGTTGCCTAGCAACATTCCACAACCTCCCCATCTGAAATATGAAGATGAATTAAATCTTCATTTTCCCCCTTGCAAATGAGTGGCATACAAGTGTGGCAATCCATTAAATCCGGCTTGAGGTCCGCATAGTAATGCCGCTGAGCCAACACACTTGCCCACAAAATACCAAATATAATAAGAGTTTGCCTTATTACACACTGGTATTTGGTTTGAATTTTTTTTTTCGCCACTAGGCCAAGACAGCAAACCACAACAGCAGCAGCGGCAGTTGGATAGAAAAATGAATTTGCAATTTCCATAAATGGCTGGCTGGCTGGCTGACTGGCCTGGCTCTTCAGATATTCATGGCCATTAAGTGTGCGTCTACAAATTCATATTGCCTTATATGCTTCAAGCTTCTCTAGTGGTTTAAATCAAATAAACAGCTAGGAAACTATTAGTAGCAGAGAGTTTGTTTGAGGATGATGGATTTGAGATGGTTCAGAGTTGGATACAAATGAATAGAAGAAATAGTTGTATATTTCCCTCTAGAAATTTGAGAGCGTTAAGGTCTTTTCATGCAAGATCAGCAAATGCCACTAAGACGTCTTCACTGGTCTACTTGCAGAGGACCTGAGAAGGAAGACAATTGAGTTCTTCTTTAGATGGAAGGATATTTGACCGATCTTATGAATATAAAATATTTTACCCAATATTCCTTTTTTCGAAATTCGAAAATTGCAATTCCAACGGACACCAAAACAAATTTTGTAGCTAAAGTACGCATTTTCCAAACAATCCCCATATTTCAATTCCCGATGCCAGCAATGACCATTACATCAAATTTCAGGATTTCAGTTCTAAAATTTACTCCATTGTCAAAGTAAGTACCATTTAGTACAATTGTAATACGCGTGTCTGAAAAGAGGTCAATTTCTCAACCACAGACACCACCAGTGACATCCATATCAAAATTCAGGATTTCATCTCTATTTCATCACCCAATACCAAATTTAGTACTATTTAGTGCTTTTTGTACGATTATAGTACACCTTTTCCAAACCATATCCATATCTTTAATTCAGATACCAACAGAGACCTGAATATAAAAATTCGGGATTCTAGCTCTATCCTTTCA